CACGGCCTGGGTGGGTACAGAAGATAAGAGAAAACAGGACAGGAGTCTATGGGAGACCCTGTGTTTGTGAGGAAAACGGACTGATTCCAAAGGAATTACATTAGAATTTATCAAAAAGATTGCGTGGCTTCCTGGGAGTTGACTGTAGCTGTCTCTGTGCTGGCAGCAGCAGGAGGCAGGGCGCAGGAATGCTGGCTCCTCTACAGAAGGTCACGTCCTCTCGGTCTTGACCAGTCTGTTCCTCTCACCCTCTTCCTTCTGAATCCCTGCTTCCCATTCATCCTGGTGATCAGAATGTGTCTTCCGTACATCAAGTCCACATGAGGCTTTGAGTAACCTGAACACGTGTTGTATTTTTTCGAAAACTGACATCAAGCCATTGCACAAGCTTGATTCCCATGTGTATTCAGGTCTTCCCGAGTGAAGTCAATTACAGGTTCTTGGTCAGTTTTTGAAATAACAGGTCTGAGGACCCAGCCTGGGGCCACAGTAAAGACACTAGTCCTACCAGCCTTTGAGCCTCTCACAGTGACATTCTGGCTTTTCCCTAAATGCATGTAATTTGAGGTTTTATTATTATCATTAGTTTAAATTAACTGACAAAGGTGCACATTTCTGATCAACTCTGCATGACCCAGGGGAGAATAAAACCGCAGAGCCTTCTATCCCCCATTCCTTGGGATTTCACGAAATACAGCATGCATTCGGGAAACGGGGAGAGAGGGAAGGCAGAAGGGAGAGAGAGAAGGAAAGAGAGGGAGGAGGGAAAGCAGGGGGAGCGTGTTGGCAGGAAGCTTATTTCCAGAGCAGAGAGTCATTCCAAGATATCATGAGCAGCAAATTAAACGATCCTTCAGCAAGAATTTTGACAAGGAAATTTCATTAGGGGTTTAAATCTCTACGGAAGCTCAAGTGGCTGCATTAAGATATGAAACTTGTGCAAATGTTGCTCCTTGGAATAATGTGTGCTGCAGGTCATTGAGTTCCTGTCAGCGAAATTT